TATAAAGTAATATTGTTATGTATATAGTGGATAATTACCTTGTTGGTCACTAAACTTTGTGGAAACCGAGGTTACTGAATTTCAAAAGTTTTCCCGTTAATAATTGAATTTTATAAAAGTTTCCCTATTAGATTACACTTTTTAAAGTTCAATGATTTACATGAAAACTTTTGAAATTTTCACTGATGGATGTGATTACATTTGTAAATCTCAGTGACTAATGATGAAACTTTTGAAGTTCAGTGATCACTTGAAAAATCTTACGCGAAGTTCGGTGACTAATAAGGTAATTTATCTATGTTTATGTTTTTTAGTCTGTTTCTTTTTCTGTTACTCCTTCCCCAAAATTTTATTCTCTCTAGCATCGTCAAATTTAGAAAGAAAAAAATAGCATTTATCTCGATGTAATCGACAAGACTGTCTACGACGTCTCTAAGATCAAAGATGCAACAATAATCCATGCAACAAACTATTTTGGAAGAGAACTCCTTAAATATTGATCACTTTATAATATTCAACTTTGAAATTCATACATATTTTTAGCCAAAATCTTATAGATTTTTTTTTCAAGTGTGTTCTAATGGAAAGACGATTGAAGTTGAAGTAGCCCTTAAAACTGTCCTCTATTGCATTTTTGATCTAGAGAGGTCAGTAAACAATCTTGTCAGTTATCCCTAGGATAACATGTTATTCTTTTTTCTAAGTTTGACGATATTAGAAAGAATAAAATTATGGGCTAAGAGTACAGAAAAAAGTAAAAAAGAAAGAAAAAGATAAAAAAAATATAAAGATTGATTAATTATCTGATTGGTCATTAAGGTTATTAAGTTACTGAATTTCAAAAGTTTCCCTCTCAGTCACCGGACTCCAGTGACTAACAGGAAACTTTTGAAATTCTCAATGATTGATGCGAGTACATTTATAAAGTTCAACCACTAATAGGGAAAATTTGAAGTTCTCAGTGTCGAATGAGACTACATTTGTAAAGTTCAGTGATTAATGGGGAAATTTTTGAAATTCTCAGTGATTGATGGAACTACATTTGTAAAGGTTAGTGATTAGCGAAGAAACTCTTGAAATTTAGCGACCTCTTGAAAACCTTACGTAAAGTTCAGTGACCAATCAAATAATTAACCCCGTATACTGTCAACTCATAGATATATTTAATTAATTAATTTTTTAAAACTTATATATATATATATAATATCAACACCATATAAAAATAACATTGTTTCCGGATACAAATAAAAAAATTAATAACATAATTAAAAAAGAATATTTTCATAAAAGGTTATATTTATATATATTCTTTTTAAAAATTTTAATTTTTCTTTTAATAATATCAATTACCTCAATTACTTTCGAAGATAATATTAATACTTCAAAAATATTATGCATGTCATTTATTCGACACATAAGACGTGCAGTGCAACACTAGTTTATTCGACACATAAGACGTGCAATGCAACACTAGTTTATATAAAATTTATGTTTATATCTGACATGACGAACTAATCAGTGTTCTTTGGTCCACTCTGGCATTAATTCTCAACAATATACGTACAAATTTATTGAGTCTCTATTTTTTCACTTTACTTTATAACACTTTATCACTTGAAATTTCAACCAAATGAGTTATCAAAATTAATTCTTATCTTCTATTCAACTAAAATGGACAGAAGTCTAGCAAAAATGATTCTTCTTTGTTATTCAATAAAAAAGAACATCGTGCTATTGGAGAAGCATTTATATTTCAAAATGTTATTATATTGTTGTTCTTGTAGAAACACAATTTTATATGTATAGTATAACAAAATGTGTTAATGTTCACAACCTATTTTAGAAGAATATTATTTTATTATTCCTGAATAAAATAAATATTCTAGAAGAATATTCTATTAGCATTGAAGAACAATTTCTTAAAAGTTTATTTCTGATAATTGTGTTAATGCTCCTAAAGAAGTATAATTATATACAAATATTTCATTATTCTAGTAGAATATCGATTTGTTGTTCCAAGAAATGACTTTATACATATTGGTAGTTTAGAAAAGTATAATTTATTTTCTTATACTCCTGACAAGTGAAAAATCTTAATTTTAATTTCTATTTCTCTTGAAGAAGTACAAGTTTGGTATATCAATATATTATATGAATAAAATTGACGCTCTCAAAGAACCATACCGCAATGTCTCAATCTTACAATATGAATTTCTTAAGAATGTGATATGAAGATGTTGTCTACTTAGAGGCTACATCAAAGAAAACCTTTATAAAACCGGTGATATCGAGAACAACAAATTTGCTCAAATAATAATTTGGTTGATTTATTCACATGGAATTCAAACATCGATATTTAAACAATTGGTACATAAGATTAGATTGTATTGACTCGATAATCAACATAGGATGAGTAGTCATCTTCTTTTTTTTTGTCCAAATTTTGTCAAGAAAATCCAGATTGACAACATTTTAATAAGGCAATGCTTTGGTACTCCAAATCTTCAACAATTAAGCCACTGTTTGACAACCACACTTTTCAAAAAAATGAGTTTTGAATAGTGATTTTTAGAAGATTTCAAATTTGCTCAAATAATAATTTGGCTGATTTATTCACATGGAATTCAAACATCTATATTTAAAAAATTGGTACATAAGATTAGATTGTATTGACTCGATAATCAACATAGGATGAGTAGTCATCCTCTTTTTTTTGGTCCAAATTTTGTCAAGAAAATCCAGATTGACAAGATTTTAATAAGGCAATGCTTTGGTACTCCAAATCTTCAACAATTAAGCCACTGTTTGACAACCACACTTTTATAAAAAATGAGTTTTGAATAGTGATTTTTAGAAGATTGTGTTATTAAAAAATAAAGAGATTCGATTGGTTGAAAGTAATAGCGGTTTCAAATTGGTCTGAAATCAATAAGTAGTATGTCTCGCGCTTGATTGGCAAAGGATATGGCCCACTTGGTGTTGGATTAGCTCGGCTGGTCAATCAATAGTCTTTCGCAGAGTACCACCTATTTAATCTTGTAGTGGAATAAACCTTATTCATTCAAATCAGATATGTTCAAGCTAAGTGGCCTGAAGAAGTCGTTCTTGTTAGTGTACCATTGACTAAACTAAACATTAAAATAATATCAATTAAACAAATTTGTAAGCTACTAGGGTAAATACCCAAAGGAAGAGTGCTAGTATAACATAGATGTCCTCTATTGCAATAGCCAATCATAAAGCCAAGCCAACATATCAGGCGATGATATTCGTGAACCTATTTACTTTATGGAAACAATATTATCTCTTGATTTACTATAAAAAAATTTAATCCCTCCTAAATAGGGCCTAATGCTTGTGCTATTTCTCTCCTAAACAAATTGAACCGGACCCCACAGAAAGCCAAGCAAAAGGAAACGGGAAACCACTAAACCGGACCGGCCACAATATACAGACACCACCTCCTACAAACCAAAAACGAAGATTCAAAATTTATGTAAAGCTAGCCATCGTCAGCTCTAATCTCTGCACTGTTGGTAAGTCTAGATTTCAACTATTTATTGTTTTCAATTCAATGAACTTTTGGTTAATTTTTTTCTTAATCCAAATGTTGTTTTGAGTTTTACTATACCATATAGCCGTATTCGCCGTTTTTCCTTTGAAGATTTTCTTGAAAATTGCGTAAGTTATAATTTTTGGTCAAAAGATTAGATTTTATCCATTGTACTTTAATTTAATTTTTCTTAATTTTATCTGAAATCAGATTATTATTTGAGAACTAGAAGTTTAATTTCTTTGCTCGTTACATGTTTGATACATTGCCTTAATTAACTTGTTCGTTACAATATACATGCATATGTATAACATAATTGTGATTTAAACATGATATATTTGTCCATTTTCTATGCTTGCGGAAGTTCTTTCCTTGGATAGATGTTTCGCATGCATTTCATTTTCAAGTGCAAGAAACCAGAGGTTTTCAATGTGATATATCATAGGGGAATAGATTTTCGGTTGTGCTACATGTACAAGTAGCATTATTCATAGATTTTTGGGTAGTGGAGATGCTGATGGGAGTCAGGTTGGTCTGAGTGGGATTATGTATTTCATTGAAGTTTTTCATAGCCTTTAGAATTATAACTTAATTTTAGTTGGAAAAAATAATTGAAGAGATGTCGTGAAATGTTTGTTTTCTTTTTGCATTTGGCATAGCTGATACTCGTCATCATTCAGAATCCGGAGTTGTGAAGGTATTTGATTGTTATACAGTCTTTTTTTTTTTAATAACCGTGGATGTTTGGACCATCTTGCGCGCACCTCGACTAATCCCACGGGGCCCTGAAGTTTACGGCCGGTACTCACCTTAGTTTATACAGAGTCTTGACTAAATGAAGGACCATTTTAGTTTCTTATTGTTTGGTGAGAGGCTGATATGTAGCTTACATTTGAAATTGTTGTAAGAAAATGGTTGTGTTCATGATAGAGTTGATCCCTATATTAATATGTGGACAAAATGTCAACCTAATCTTGATGTTCAGTTTTAGTACTTGATTTCAGGTTTTAATGCAATTTATTTATTGTAGGCTATACACTTAATTGTTAGACTGCGGAGATTCAATGTTTCCACTTTTCTTGTTTTTAACTTCCAATAAAAAATGTCAAAAGTCAAGATGAAACCAATCTTGGTAAGAAATGGTTGGCACATGTCAAACTTGCAGGGAGGCTATCAATTATGTAGCATTTTGAGTGTGTATATGTTGTGCTTCTGTGTACTATATCTATATCTGTTTTACTCGCAACAAATGATGAGTTTTTCCATTATTCTTTTACTTTTGAAGATGGAAAGATATCTCTGAGTCATGTATTTGATATTTTATTTTTTTGTGCAGGTCATGAGGTGATGAAAAATCCTGTATTCTTTGGTTCTTCAATATGAAGGAGAACCACTTTGTTTTTAATCGTGTAAATTTGAAATCCTCGTAGATGGGTCTCTTTTAGACATGAGGAGGCATTCCATCTTCCTATTAAGCCGTAGTCAAGTATTTTCTTGCCATTTACACCGAGGTTCCACCACAAGAGAATTCTTATTCTTGTTCCGATTTAATAATTCATTGACCCAAAATCTATCTTCCTTAAGCTCAATCAGTACAAGAGCCTTTCCTGATTTTTCACCAAAGAAACCTTCAATTAGGGACTCTGAACTTGTCCACCATATCTCAACTACCATCAAACAACGGCAATCTGAACCCCTTCGCCTTCTTCTGAAGCCATTTGAATCCAAATTCAGGCCTGACCACCTCATTTGGGTTCTCATGAACATAAAGGATGATTACAGATTAGTTTTGGATTTCTTTGACTGGTACTGTGTAAGAAGGGATCCATCACTTGAAGCTTGTTGCATTATAATTCAAATTGCAGTGGCCGCAAAAGATCCAAAGATGGCTCAAGAACTTTTCTCTGAGTTCTGGACAAAGGCCAGTACTAATGTTAGTTTCTCTTTCTCCCGTGTTCTCGAAAAGTTAATATACACTTATAAGGGTTGGGGTTCAAATCCATATGTGTTTGACATTTTCTTTCAAGTCCTTACTGAAGCTGGAACTCTTGATGATGCGAGAAAGCTTTTCAGTAAGATATTGAATTTTGGTTTGATTCTATCTGTTGATTCCTGTAACTTATTCCTTTCTAGACTGTTAAATAATATCAATGGTCCTAAAATGGTATTGAAGGTGTTCAGCGAATTTGCTGAAGCAGGTATTTCTTGGAATACTGCATCATATAACATAATGATTCATTCACTTTGTCTAATTGGGAAAGTGAAAGAAGCTCATAGCCTACTGTTGCTAATGGAGTTCAGGGGCTGCATTCCTGATGCTATAAGTTATAGTACTGTAATCAATGGATATTGTAGTGCTAAAGAACTTCGATCAATGTTGAAAGTTTTAGAAGATATGCGACTTAAGGGATTGAAACCAAATGCATATACCTTTAACAGCATAATCCTTCTTATGTGCAATACTGGTAGTGTAGTGGATGCAGAGAAGGTCTTGAGGGAGATGATGTCTCAGGGAATCATTCCAGATAATGTAGTTTACACCACTCTCATTGATGGTTTCAGCAAAATTGGAAATGTTGCTTCTGCAGTAAGAATGTACAACGAAATGCAGAGCCAGGACATTGTTCCTGATTTTATAGCATACACTGCTCTCATTTGGGGTCATTGTCAAAATGAAAAAATTGCAGAAGCAAATAAGCTGTTCAACGAAATGCTTAGCATTGGGTTAAAACCTGATGAATTTACTTATACTACGCTGATTGATGCTTACTGCAAGACAGGTGACATTAAAATGGCATTTTCTCTTCATAATGAGATGGTTCAGATTGGACTGGTTCCTAACGTTGTCACTTACACTGCACTGGTTGATGGACTCTGTAAACATGGGGATGTCGATGCAGCAAATGAACTGATTCAGGAAATTCGAGAAAAGGGACTTGTTCTAAATATCTACACATACAATTCACTTCTCAATGGCCTTTGTAAATCTGGAAATATAGGGCAAGCAGTAACGTTAATGAAAGATATGGAGGTAGCAGGCATACAGCCTGATGTTTTTACCTATACTTCTCTAATGGATGCTTATTGCAAATCTGGAGAGATGGTTAAGGCACATCAGCTTCTACGTGAGATGTTGCATGAAGGGATTCAACCAACTGCTGTTACATTCAATGTTCTGATGAATGGATTTTGTATGTCAGGGATGCTAGAAGATGGTGAGAAGCTTCTCCAGTGGATGTTGGAGAAGGGTATAATGCCAAATGCCACCACTTACAATTCTCTGATGAAGCAATACTGTGTTAGAAATAATATGCGTGCAGCAGCGGAGATTTACAGGGGCATGGGTCATCAAGGAGTAATGCCAAATGAAAATACATATAACATATTGATACGAGGACATTGCAAGGCAAGGAATATGAAGGAAGCATGGTTTCTGCATAAGGAAATGGTAGAGAAGGGATTTGATCTTACATTCGATACCTACCATGCACTGATTAAAGGTTTTATAAAGAGGAAGAAGTACCTTGAAGCTAGAGTTCTGTTTAAAGAGATGAGAAGTAAAGGTATTTTTGCAGATAAGGAATTGTACTTAATCTTTGCAGATATGAACTATGATGAAGGGAACATTGATATGACTCTTGAGCTTTGTGATGAAGCCATAGAAAATTGTTTTATGGATATGAACAAAGGCGGGCAGACATAATCCTGTGGCAATACATTGATTTGATGATCATGGAGTTCATATTTGCTCTGCGTGGTTATTTCCAACAATCTGAGCAATTGATTACCAAGCGTCAAAATGACAGGTAATTTCTAATTTGTTGTACTCGCCGCTTAATAAGTGGCTTAATTGCAATTTGTGTGGGCGTGCATACATTATATGTTCCCGTGGTGATTTACCCTCTACAGTTCTTCCTCTCATTCCATGGCATAATAGTGTTTCAGGTTTTAATATGGTTGCTAAAAGGGTATTGACTGATGCCAGATGTACTTAATTTCGCAGTAAGAAAACATGAAACCAAAGTCCAAAATTTTTATTTACTATAGAAAGGCACCCTGAAGAAAAATGATTACATAAAGTATAAGATGCGCAAAGAGCACTATTTTTGGTTAGTGACATAAATTTGGTTCTTAAGAGCATGTAGTAGTTGTTTAATTCAGAGAAAAGAAGAAGAAAACAGGAAGGTTATTAAGTTCGAAGAGCATTCATGGCTTTATGTCTAGGCCAGTGCTGTTTAACATTACTCCAAGTGTCTTAAAAGATCGATATGATGATGGATGATTATTCAAAGTGTTGACTTAGAACGGAACAAGTATATGATACAAATCTTGTGCAAAATTTTTTGAAATTCATTTAGAAACCAGTCCTTTTAGATTTGGAAAGCTGCAGATTTAACAAAATTCACAACTAAGTTCCTGTTTGGGTTAATAGCAATTGTCTTTTGTTCCACTAACGAGTGCCACGTTGTCAGCATTATGTCTACATTATGAGTAGGATTTATCATTCTATATCTATTTAGGTTTTAGAATGATATATTTCGCCTGTGTACCTGTCTGTTTGCTTTTCTAATGCATTATGGTATAATCCATTTTGGTAGCAGGGCTAATCAACTGCCTAGTTTGTAATATGTACGTCATTATATTGAGACATCATCCCCACCCCATCTTTGCTCTAATCCCCGTCAGATCTGTACAGACTTTTTATGCTTGTTTTAATAAATTTTCTTTTTTTTGTACATGGCATGTGTGCGCAGGAGAAAGCAATATCCACAACCGAATGTAGACATTTGATGTAGAAGAATGATGACATATCCACAACTGAATTAATAATTTCATCAGATGCAAACTTGGATGGGAATTTTAAATTCCCTGTTGCTTCTCATTCTATTGCCACGTGATGCAGAAGATTGATGGAAAAGCAAAGATAATGCAGGAAATATTTAATTGCAACCGAGGACAGGGCATCTACTTTGATTCATATTGTAAGTCTATTCTAGTGGCCAAGTGTTGTTTTTTATTAATTCTTACTTTGGCGAAAGGACATATTTGTTGAATAGAATGATATGACATAATCATTTGCGGATTTGCACGAGTTACTATCTTTTTTTGATAATCAAGTAAAGTGATACACAGTATGTCATAGACACTTTGAGTTCAATCTTCGAATTTTATTATCTTCTTGTCTGAGCTGGAAAGAGAGGAGCAAAAGAAAATAATGAGCATATGCACTTCACAATAAAGTACGTACAATGTTCATTATTTTAAAAAGGAAGGCTTGAAGATCATTGGTCGTAATCAAGTGAAAATTAAATTTATAATGGGCGCAGAACATATTGTGCTTAGTAAATAATTATATTTTCCTTTTGGAATTGCAGGTCACGCAGATTTGGAGAAAATTGTAACAGATCATTGCTTTATGATCTAAGCAAAAAAAATTAAGCTGAGAAGACCTGGAGATATTTCTTTTTCTTGGATGATCTACATCTTAGGATCAGGTGCTGAGGAACACAGTCACACTTAACCATCCATGTTGTTGACCTAGGACAAACACATTCATGCCCTGACACATAGCATACAGTTACTTCATCATCGGATCAACTCTTAACTCCAAACCGACTTGCCGTGACTTCATAATAAATCCATCTTGCAACACAGAAAGAAGCTCGGTCCAGAGGAAAGGGAATGGTCCCCCTATTAGACTTGCCAATGAACTGAAAAATAATAGGATACCTTACATTTGGAAGAATCACAGTAGTTGTTAAGCTCCACTACTTTCTGGGGAATTCTTCTGCTGCCCAAATATGACTTGCTTAGATCTCTGTACATGTAAGTGTATACATTACAGTTATCATTAGTTTAATAAACTTGAAGATTTCACAAAGCTATAATGTGCAAGTGCTTCATTGTTTACCTTCCATACACGCAGGATAGAAATAGGCACCTGATATTGCTGCTCAGCGGAATTTACCTGCATCAGAGTGGCAGTAGATTGTATCTATGGAATCAGCTTAAGTATTACCCCTGGAGTTTGTTGATGTTTAGAAGGGACAAGGAAAAAAGCCAATGTACAGGGGAGTCTCATAGGGAGGGAGGTGGCATTCTTGGATTGGATGATTGAAAAAAATGGATTAAAACAGGCCAATGCAGTGTTAACACTTTGGCATCTGGCAAAAAAACCTGTGAAACTCCGGCGTACTTGTAGCATTGTTGAGAATCAAGACTTTTGATATACCATCTGTTGTTCCCCTTGGAGATGATATCTACCTCTTCATGTTAATCCTCTAATATTTAACTTATGGTAAGCATCGATGTGTAGCTGAGTGCTAACACGTCATCCTAGAAGTTAACTATATAAAGCCCGTTTCTTTCCACGGTAATGTCACACTCATTAGTATCTTGGTCCATATTTATTTGAATTCATTCTTGAAATAAATTTACAGTTGTTGAACATGTTTGTCCTTTTGAATGCCAATGGTAGTGTCAGGAGACGAGCCTCTGCGATGATCCTGGGATAGGTTTGTAAAAAGAGTCTACTGTATGACCACATGATCTAACATAATTATGTTCTAAAACTACTATTGAGGCAGAGAATTAGCATAAATAATTCTAAAGTGTAATCAGCTGATGTTAAACTATATAACACACGACAAGATTAAAAAGAAAAGATATTAGATTTAAGCTATTATGAAGTATAATGGAAAAATTCACTATGTTGTTATGTGGATATCACTGAACACAGTTAAAACGAACAAAAGGCAGTCAAAGTCTTATTGTCCTATGTGGTACTCTGTAGTATCAAATGCGTCTACAGTTCATGTAATTAGAGAGCATAATTATTTGCTATGTTAAAAATTATTTGCATTTTGGATAACCTTTGCCATTGCCATCTCCCATCATGATGAAGAAATTTTCATCTGAAGCTATTATGGTCAACCATGATTTGCTGTAAAGGGAAACCATAATAAACTTAAGCAAGCACAATTCCAAAGGTTTTTCCAATTTATTTGAAATCATTAAGTTTTTAGATTAAATTATGTATTATTGAAAGGTTAATATGATATTTAAAATTTATTAAAAAAAATTAAATTTGGTGTTGTTTTGGTTTGTAATGTGATCATATTTAGATAGTTTACAAATCAACAAGTTCAGCAGTCTATCTTTACCGAGTGTTTGTTTGGTAGAGATTTTTGGGGGAAGAATTGATTTTTAAATAATGATATGATGGGAAATGCGTGGTTGAAAAAGAAGAAAAAATTATTGATGTGATGGAAAATATTATTTTATTGAAGAATGCGTGGTTGAAAATAAGAATTGATTTAAGAATCAATTCTCAAATAAAAACAAACACCCCCCGAATATCTATAATTGGAGTCGAAGTAATACGACCCAGAGGTCATAAAACATGTAAAAGTTCATTGCTCACTAGAAATTGAGATACCACGTTTTGTTGATCTAGCAAAATTCAACTATTCAATTGTCATTACTAGTTATTTTACTTCAATGTCTCCGTTTTTGTAGTTAGTTTTGTAGCAAAAGAACATATTCACTTATGTATGGAGCAAACAACAATAGGATGTTTCAAAATAAATTTTTAGCCTTTATTCACCCATTATAAATAAATGTTTACGTGCATAATACATAATTTTTAGGGAGAGGGGATGTCTTAACCTCATTTATTACATCTAAACCTAGTGTGAAAATGTGGTACCACGCATGAGATGGCAGATGCATAGCCACCCCTCCATGGACCAACTTGGTGGTGGAAATTGGAGCAAATGTGGTTAAGCCATAGCCACATAATTTACCTACCATCCATACCCCCTCTCCTATATATTTGTTACACTTATTGACCAAAGTTAATGCATATGGTCTAAACCAAAACAAAGGTAACTATATAAATATAAAATGATTTATGGAAAATATCACAATTGGTTTTTCAAATATATTATTCAAGTACGTTTGGTGTACATTTTAAAGGTAAGAATGTATTTTTACTGTTGATGTGATGGAGAATATGTGATTGAAAAAAAAAAGGTATTGATGTGATAAAAAATATTATTTTATTGAAAAATGTGTGATTGAAATGAGTAGAATAATGATAATGAAAAAAATAATGTGGATCATTATAATTATAGGTCCCATAAAACACGTATTTCAAATTAATTATTAATTTTGATTTAAATTTTTGTCAACATTTTAAATTAAAGCAAACAGGATTATAACATCTAGACTAGAGTTTGGTGCGTGTAAGGTGGCGAATTGAATGAACTTGAATGGCACATCTCACACCTTTCCGTCACAACATTAATCACACACGGTGATCTAAAATGCATAATGCGTAGTGGCCAAACTATTGGATAAATGAGTTTAGGCGAGGCATATGAGTAAAAAAGCGTAAAAATACATTTTCTTATTTTAATTTTTAATCAGTTAAAAAAATTATTTAATAATTAAAAATAATACATATCAAACATCTAAAATATATTTAGGGCTTGTGTGGGAGGGATTAAAATCAGATTAAAATTGAAAATATAGCCGTTATTGTTGACTTTTATTAGACGAGTGGGGTCCAATAACGGCCATATTTTCAATTTTAATTGGCTTTTAATCCCTCCCGAACGGGGCCTTATAGAAAGTTTATACATTTTTTCAAAAGTTTCCAACAAAAAGATAAGTTTCAAATATAACAACATTTAAGTTTTAATTTAAAAGAATTGTATTTTTTTTTTAAAAGATAATAATGAGCACCTAACATTTTCATAAAATTAATCAAAAGGGACCAAAAACAACTTTTGAATCTCAAAAACTACTTTTGACTTTTTAAAAATCATGTCAAACGAGTTCTTATTTTACCTACCCATATTAAATTTCAACGGTATATCCCTTATTCTCTACCTACCGGCTACCCATATTAAGTACCTATTAAAATTTTAATTTTAATTTGAGTCAAAATCAATCACGATCCACAAATTTTTAATGATATATTTCATCAATTTTTATCAAAACTTACTAAAATTCATCCCCGTCCGTTACTTATTCTCTACCTACCCATATTAAATCTCAACAATATATACACAAGCACACACTAAAAACCTACAAACCAAAAACCTTGTAATTCTCGAAATTCCTACAATGGCTTCCGAGGATGTGAAACTGTTGGGTGGATGGCCAAGCCCATATGTAATGCGGCCTAGAATTGCACTCAACATTAAGTCTGTCAATTATGAGTTTCTTGAGGAAAAATTTGGTTCAAAAAGTGATCTTCTTCTCAAATCGAACCCGGTTTACAAGAAAATTCCAGTTCTCATTCATGGTGAAAAACCCATATGTGAATCACTCATTATTGTTGAGTACGTTGATGAGGTTTGGAATTCCGGTCACACCATTCTTCCTTCTGACCCGTACGATCGAGCCGTTGCCAGATTTTGGGCTACTTATATTGATGATAAGGTATTCCTTCATCTGATTTTTTTTTTTCTTCAATGGAAGATAAATACTTGACAGACAGGTTTCTTGTTTGTCTTCAACAAGTCATTCATTCTTGGATCTTTGTCATAAAAACTTTAATACGTGCACAGTAAATTTACAAGATTTGAACTAACACATGTTGGGAAATTATTTAATTTCCCGTGATGGGCCGACATATGTAATTAACTGTGTATAAATGCTATCTTAGAGTTAAGCCCAAAATTAAAGTGATCTAATAAAGAATTAAGTAATTGGGATTTAAGCATCTAACTAAAGTGTGGGTCGGACTATATGTGTAGAGACCGGATCCATTAGGGTTTGTACTTATTTAACGATGGGCCGACTACATATGGAAATATATAAAGGGTTATGGTACCAAATATATGTTTGATTTTCTCATTCTTTGAGGCATCTCATGAGCCCGTCAAATATTGGAAGAAAATTCTTTATATAATTTTAATAAAAAAATAACAAAGGACAACTATGTCCTTAAAGAGATTAAGCCCCCGTTTGACAACCATTTAAATAATTTTTTTTTTTTTTGTTTTTTGAGAATGTGCAGTTAAGTTGAATAAGTTTTGGATATATGTGTAGAACATTTTATTGTGAAAAATTGTGGTTAAAAATGAATTTGATAAAAAAAAAAAGAATTTTGTAAAAATGATTGTTAAACAGGCATATCAACGAAATAAGAGAGAACTCTAAAAATTAGGCGTGTTAAGTTGAGAGAGCTGCACTGCTTGTCATGCCTTTTTGTTGGGTTTGGCTCAAGAAAGTTGGGCTTGACTTGCCCCTTGATCGAGGGGAGCAGAGTCGGCTCGCGAGCCACTAGCAGGTCGCATTTTTTTAAGCAAAAAAATTGTTCTTTTAGCTAAATTACGATTTGCTCGCAAGCCTGAGGTGAGGTGGCTCGTGCACGAGTCTGTGAACGAACTCATGTGAGTCGAGTGGCTTATACTAGTGATTCGCTGCTTGACCCGCTAGTGGAACAAGTACGCTCGTCCCTTGTTGGGGACTCACGGGTCACCTTTTTCTTTTAAGAAAAAAATTATATACTTTTAGCTAAAATGTGAGCCACTTATGAACTTGAGGCAAGCTGGCTTGCACGAGTGACTCAATGCTCGACTCGCTAGTGGAATGAGTTGATTTGCCTTAGTTAACGCCTGCGAAAACCCAGAAAATACCCTTAGGGACCGTTTGATAGGCAAAGGTAGAAAGGAGTTCAAATTCCATGTTAGTTGGAAAATAAAAACCCATCAAACCTATAAGAATTCGTTTTCCATGAAAACAAAGAAAATGTAGCTTAAAGTGGTTGCACCTTGGAATTCGATTTCCATTTCCACGTTGTAATCAAACGGCCAAAATTGAATTTGTTTTCCTCAAATGTGACATTTTCCATAGAATTCGTTGCAATCAAACATGACCTTACTTAAAATAAAAGATAGAATACAAATAAAAACTAAATAAATAAAAAAGGCAAAGTCTTGATATTCAACCACTTTAAAGTTGTGACACAGCATGTGTTCTCTGCTATATTTCTGTCTTTGTAGTCCACTGTCCACCAACGTCTCCATTTATGACATGTTTAGTTTAAATAGCACTTCAGTATTGTTTGTCGAAAGTGCAGTACCGTTTAAAATAACAATATTCGATTTCATGTTTTGACTATGGAACATTTAATCAAATGGATTTTTCCAGTGGTTTCCCGGCATAAGGGCCATCTCAAGAGCTGATGGAGAGGAAGCTAAGAAAAAAGCAGTAGAGGAAGTCATTGCAGGCCTAGTTTTACTTGAAGATGCCTTCATAAAATGCAGCAAAGGAAAGAGTTTCTTTGGAGGGGACAAAATAGGGTACTTAGACATTGCATTGGGGTGTTTCTTGGGGTGGTTGAGAGTGACAGAAAAGATGGGCAATTTTGCGCTTCTTGATGAGTCCAAGACACCTAATTTGTTCAAATGGGCTGAAAAATTTTCATCTGATGATGCTGTTAAAGATGTTATGCCTCAAACTGATAAGCTGATGGAGTTTGCTAAAGTGCTTATGGCTAAATCAAAGGCTTCTTGAAATGGAAGTTTTAGTTTTCTGTTAGTGCTTCCTGTTACTTGATGGACTTGGCTTTGGTTTGTGTTTTGGATGTTGTTTATGGTATGAATAATATGGATTTGTCAAAGCTTTTATTCACTTTGTGGAGTGTAGGGGCTGTAGCTATGATGGAAGTAAAAAAAATAAGTTTAGTCGAACTAGACTAGCTTTGGGCTGATTAGGCGCCGACTCCATCTATGCCTCAGCTTGGAATAGGCCCGGCAGGATACGCCTCAATTATCTTTAAATTTTTTTTTTTTGATTGATTATCTGAAAAATCAAAAATTAAATAAATGAATAAAAGGAGCACACAAGCTGTTGGTTGCGATCGTGCCATCTAGACTAATAGAATGGTTATTCAGACCTAGATGACTCGATCCACCTTTATATCCCCAGCATTATAAAAAGGAATTAGCCAAATTCATGATCCATCAACTCGTTTTAAGATGCTATTTTCGTTGATTGGTCAAAAGCTCAAATTTTGTCTTGAAATTGAGACCTCATGGCCAATTGGGAGAAACTACCAATATTATGATAATCACTTTTTGTGATTGTTCTTGATCTTGATCTTGATTGAGAAGGCTATTTTTTTTTTGTCACTCCTTGATAGAGAAATGATTTTATTTATTATGTAGATATTTTTATTAACAAATTTATCATTTTATATGCCATCGAGATTGTTGTAATTAGGTCGACTCAAGATTTCATACATCATTTTGTAAGATTGAATTGTTTTTAAAAAATTAGACCATGAAAATTTTATCTTACAATATATGGATGTCGGTTGAAGAGATATATGTGAAAATTACTAATCGAAAAATAAAAAAAATTTAAAAGTGATAAAAAGAGAGAACGTCTTAGGTTGGAAGAGATGCCTAATCTACTATGGAAGGCACAAAATGAACACTTTAGAAATGAGATACATGCGTAAAAATAAATATTTTCATCTTATCCCGGAGCCGAGTAATTCAAAATGTGCAACAAATTATTTTGTTTCTTTTGATGTTATAATCCTAAATAATATTTATTTTATGAAGTTTGACAATCCACTCTAAATATGTAGACATTTTCTATATAATAATAATACACAAAAAATTAACTTTCTTTAACTGCCATTGACTAAATAATTGTACTTTGAATAGTAAAATTGTCTAAATAGTCAAACCAGGACTGAACCGGCGGGGGTAACGCCGCCCGGGCTTCAGCGTGCTTCTAGATAAAGTAGACCAGATAAAATTTTTAAAGCCCACGCGCAGTTATAGTGTACTGATATTCACTTGCGTTTTACCTAACTTCCTCCACTCCCAACCATTATTCTTTCAATTTCTTTCTTTCGTTCGTTCGTTAATTTATTGTTTGTGGGAAAAGAAGTGTCTCAAATGCAATTAGGATTTTAATTAATGTAGCGGTAGAACTATGTCGAAACAAAGATTTAGTTGTGTAACATCGGATGAAAGTGAAACCATTTAAGCTAAGCATTTTTTAGTTCACTTCGATTTTACTAAGATCAAATAAAGTCAATTTCCAATTATAATTGATCATATAGAATCGAATAGTTCTATGAATCGTGATGGAATCAAATTGAACCAGAACTAAACGATTCTAGCTCAATCAGATTTGGTTGCCTTTATGCTTTATAAAATATTGTTTCACTTTTAAGATTTGTATTTATTATTTGAGATCATAAAAATTATTTTAATGCTTGATTAAATTGACATATTAGTAAATTAGTTGGTAGCTAGAATTAAGAATTGAATTAGAATCACTCAACTTTTGATTTTAAGAATCGAAGCCAATTAAATTTCAATTGAAACCTAATTGAATTGGATAATTGGGTTCAATTCTGATTTAATAACGTTGTTTATAGACAAAAATATTAAAAAAAATGTCATTGTGAGTTTTAATTGTTCACAAAATTACCCGTTATTATTAACACGATAGAAGAAATTGAAACTATTAATTAGACATGTAAAGTAAATGAAATTTTTTTTTTGAGAATGTGTAGTTAAGTTGAATAAGTTTTGAATATATGTGTAGAACATTTTATTGCGAGAAATTGTGGTTAAAAATGAATTTAAAAAAAAAAAAATTTTTGTAAAAATGATTGTTAAACAGGCATATCAACTAAATAAGAGAAAACTCTAAAAATTAGGGGTGTTAAGTTGAGAGAGCTGCACTGATTGGCTTGCCTTTTTGCTTGGTTTGGCTCAAGAAAGTTGGGCTTGACTTGCCCCTTGATCGAGGGGAGCAGAGTCGGCTCGCGAGCCACTAGCGGGTCGCCTCATTTTTTTTAAGTAAAAAAATTGTTCTTTTAGCTAAAATACGAGTTGCTTGCAAGCCTAAGGTGAGGTGGCTCGTGCATGAGCCTGTGAACCAACTCATGCGAGCCGAGAGGCTTATACTAGTGATTCGCTGCTGGACTCGCTAGTGGAACAAGTAGGCTCGTCCCTTGTTGGAGACTCACAGGTCACCTATTTTTTTTAAGTAAAAAATTATATACTTTTAGCTAAAATGTGAGCCACTTATGAACTTGAGGCGAGCTGGCTTGCACGAGTGATTCAATGCTCGACTCGCTAGTGGGATGAGTTGATTTGCCTTAGTTAACACCCGCGAAAACCAAGAAAATACCCTTAGGGACCGTTTGATAGGCAAAGGTAGAAATGAATTCCAATTCCATGTTAGTTGAAAAATAAAAACCCACAAAATCCATAAAAATTCGTTTTCTATTAAAACAAAGAAAATGTAATTTAAAGTGGTTGTACCTTGAAATTTGGTTTCCATTATCACGTTGCAATCAAACGGCCAAAGTGGAATTCGTTGTTCTCGGATGTGACATTTTCCATAGAATTTGTTGCAATCAAGCATGACCTTACTTAAAATAAAAGGCAGAATACAAATAAAACTAAATAAATAAAAAAGGCAAAGTCTTGATATTATAATATGTCCAACCACTTTAAAGTTGTGACACACCATGTGTTCTCTGCTATATTTCTGTCTTTGTAGTCCACGAACGTCTCCATTTATGACATGTTTAGTTTAAATAGCACTTCCGTATTGTTTGTCGAAAGTGCAGTACCGTTTAAAATAACAATATTCGATTTCATGTTTTGACTATGGAACATTTAATCAAATGGATTTTTCCAGTGGTTTCCCGGCATAAGGGCTATCTCAAGAGCTGATGGAGAGGAAGCTAAGAAAAAAGCAGTAGAGGAAGTCATTGCAGGCCTAGTTTTACTTGAAGATGCCTTCATAAAATGCAGCAAAGGAAAGAGTTTCTTTGGAGGGGACAAAATAGGGTACTTAGACATTGCATTGGGGTGTTTCTTGGGGTGGTTGAGAGTGACAGAAAAGTTGGGCAATTTTGCGCTTCTCGATGAGTCCAAGACACCTAATTTGTTCAAATGGGCTGAAAAATTTTCATCTGATGATGCTGTTAAAGATATTATGCCTCAAACTGATAAGCTGATGGAGTTTGCTAAAGTGCTTATGGCTAAATCGAAGGCTTCTTGAAATGGAAGTTTTAGTTTTCTGTTAGTGCTTCTTGTTACTTGATGGACTTGGCTTTGGTTTGTGTTTTGGATGTTGTTTATGGTATGAATAATATGGATTTGGCAAAGCTTTGATTCACTTCGTGGAGTGTAGGGGCTGTAGCTATGATGAAGTAAAAAAATAAGTTGAGTCGAACTAGACTAGCTTTGGGCTGATTAGGCGCCGACTCCCTCTATGCCTCAGCTTGGAATAGCCCGGGTAGGATACGCTTCAATTATCTTTAAAAAATTTTTTTTTGATTGATTATCTGAAAAATCAAAAATTAAATAAATGAATAAAAAGGAGCACACAAGCTGTTGGCTGCGATCGTGCCATCTAGACTAATAGAATGGTTGTTCAGACCTAGATGACTCGATCCACCTTTATATCCCCAGCATTATAAAAAGGAATTAGCCAAATTCATGATCCATCAACTCGTTTTAAGATGCTATTTTCGTTGATTGGTCAAAAGCTCAAATTTTATGTCTTGAAATTGAGACCTCATGGCCAATTGGGAGAAACTACCAATATTATGATAATCACTTTTTGTGATTGTTCTTGATCTTGATTGAGAAAGCTTTTTTGTTTTTTGTCACTCCTTGATAGAGAAATGATTTTATTTATTATGTAGATATTTTTATTAACAAATTTATCATTTTATATGCCATTTTTTCATCTTATCCCGGAGTCGAGTAATTCAAAAAGTGTAACAAATATTTTGTTTCTTTTGATGTTATAATCCTAAATAATATTTCTTTTATGAAGTTTGACAATCCACTCTTGTGTTTGAGACACATTCTTTTGAAAGAATGTATTATTGAATAATAGATTGATGTAGAATGTGTGGTTAAAAATGAACTTGATGGACTTGGCTTTGGTTTGTGTTTTGGATGTTGTTTATGGTATGAATAAGATGGATTTGGCAAAGCTTTGATTCACTTCGTGGAGTGTAGGGGCTGTAGCTATGATGAAGTAAAAAAATAAGTTGAGTCGATCTAGACTAGCTTTGGGCTGATTAGGCGCCGACTCCCTCTATGCCTCAGCTTGGAATAGCCCGGGCAGGATACGCCTCAATTATCTTTAAAAAATTTTTTTTAATGTTTACCAAACAGAGCCTATATGTAGACATTTTCTATATAATAATAATACACAAAAAAATTAACTTTCTTTAATTGCCATTGACTAAATAATTGTACTTAGATTAATAAAATTGTCTAAATAGTCAAACCAGGACTGAACCGGCGGGGGTAACGCCGCCCGGGCTTCAGCGTGCTTCTAGATAAAGTAGACCAGAAAAATTTTAAAGCCCACGCGCAGTTATAGTGTACTGATATTCACTTGCGTTTTACCTAACTTCCTCCACTCCCAACCATTATTCTTTCAATTTCTTTCTTTCGTTCGTTAGTTAATTATTGTTTGTGGGAAAAGAAGTGTCTCCAATGCAATTAGGATTTTAATTAATGTAGTTGTGGAACTATATCGAAACAAAGATTTAGTTGTGTAACATCGGATGAAAGTGAAACCATTTAGGATAAACATTTTTTAGTTCACTTCGATTTTAATAAGATCAAATGAAATCAACCGAATCACGGTGGAATCGAATTGAATCAGAACTAAACGATTCTTGCTCAATCAGATTTGGTTGCCTTTATGCTTTAGAAAATATTGTTTCACTTTTAAGTTTTGTATTTATTATTTGAGATCATAAAAATTATTTTAATGCTTGATTAAATTGACATATTAGTAAATTAGAGTCAAATTAAAATTTAGTTGGTAGCTAGAATTAAGAACTGAATTAGAATCGCTCAACTTTCGATTTTAAGAATCGAAGCCAATTAAATTTCAATTGAAACCTAATTGAATTGGATAATTAGGTTCAATTCTGATTTAACAACGTTGTTTATAGACAAAAATATTAAAAAAAATGTCATTGTGAGTTTTAATTGTTCACAAAATTACCCGTTATTATTAACACGATAGAAGAAATTGAAACTATTAATTAGACATGTAAAGTAAATGAAATAACATTAATGGCAAATGGAGGAATCACAAACAAAAAGGTCCTAATCCACACACTTTGGGGCAATATCTAGTGGACATGTAACAGGCTCCATTTACATTTCTTTCCACTATGATTGATTTTGACCCTCTTTCTTTCTCATGGAAGGTAAACAGAAGTGCCAATCCCACTCTAAGAGGACCATGTTACTCTTGAACAAACATGTTATTAGCAAATATATTAATTAAGTCATTGATCAAGTATCAAGTAATATCCACTCATGACCCATTTACAGGATTTCTACTTTTGTTTAATCTTGTAAAAGGGCTTTTTCAGATCAATTTATTCTAAAAGTTCTTCTAATCCGACAAATCACTTTCAGAAAATTATTCAAACTTCTTCTAACACAAATTTTTAGTCTCGAAATCATGTCTAAACTTTTAAAAACCTTGCCACATGAGCCCTCAATAACACTATAAATTCAAAATAACAAGTTTGAGACCTTGACATATGACATGACTTGTCATATATATCCGTAGAGACAAAATGCATCTATTTCGTTACGATGACCAAGCTCACTTTGTTACTCTAATTGCAAATCAAACGTAACCATAATTCTTACACGCTGATTCCAATCGCGTGGATACTGAAACTTCTTAGCATGGACAATGATGCCACCTTGAAATTTCATAAGTCAACTTTTCTCACCTTGTTCTTCCGAAGAATATTTAAGTCTTATCTACATAATTTTCAACCATTTTGCAATCTTTCGTATGTACGAAGGTACAAAAATGTCTGAATATGATAAACATATATACTCCAAATCAATCTTCTTTACACAGACAAATACTCTCTTTTCGCCCTCTTCGTCACTCCATATTTATATTCAGCCTGTTACTCTTCCGATTATTTTGTACGGTTTTGAACAAGAGTGAAGAATCCTCTTTTCGACTTTGTCTATCCCACTTTGGTCGTGATTTTGATATATATTCCTTGAAATAGTCATGGATTTCTTTGGAGAGGCTAAGGCTGTTAAACTAAGAAGTCACTTGAACAAATACCTAGTAGCCGATGATGATCAAGTATCCACTCGGCAAAGTAGAAACGGTGCTGCACGAAAAGCCCGGTGGCTAGTCGAGCAAGTCGACAGCAACGACCACGTCGTCCGCCTCAAAAGCTGCCACGGCCGGTATCTCACCGCCTCGGACGAGGGTTTTCTATTAGGCATGACAGGTAACAAAGTCCTCCAAACCCTGCCGGAAAACGTCAAGGACTTTAAAATTCAGTGGCAGCCTATAAGGGATGGATTTCAAGTGAGGCTAAGGGCCTTCGGAGGCACATATTTACGTGCGAATGGAGGCACGCCACCTTGGCGGAATTCGATTACACATGATAGTCCTTATACTTCTTCTACACATAATTGGATTTTATGGGATGTAGAGGCCATTGAAATTCCAGAAAATGAATCCTTGACACATTATTTATCGATGGTTTCGAGTTTTTCGTCGGTTTCGGATGAACTGTCAGGGTTGGAGCTCGGGTCACCGGAATCGATCCACTCCGGTTACTCTCCCTCCCCCAGATTACACTCTTGTTACTCTCCCTCCCCCAGATTATCAATGAAGAAGGTACGCTTTATACTTTATTAAGATTATTATTTTTCCAAGACAAATTTAATTTTTTCTAGTATATAAGGTTAAAGGTATCAAGCAATTGTTTTTCAAGGGTTTTTCCTAATTTGCATTGTCTATATATTTGGTGAAGCGTGGTTGGTTCATAACACAAGGTCAGAAATGTCAAATGCCTCCAAATGAAGAATTTATTTCCCTCAATTTTAAGGGATAATTGTAGCAGCTGTATCAAACATTTCATTTAGTAGCAGATTTTGTTCAAACTTTACATTTATGTCACCCACAATACCAAATCTTTTAAAATGTCGCAGCTGAAATCCAAATAGATAGTTTTCGTTAGTTGACCAGATAATTGATCTTGACAATATTTTTGATTAATTTTAAAATGTTAAAATGATAACATTATATTCTTTTTATAATAAAATAACTAAAATCAAATAATCAAAATTAAAAACCCATTTCCAGATATGGGGTGTGTAGATTTGGGGTGGGTTGGGGGTGAAAATAGGTTTTTAATTTTAATTATATTATTATAAAAAAAAAATGTAAAGTTATCATTTTAACATTTTAAAATTAATCAAAATTATTGTCAATGTCAATTATCTAGTCAGCTAACGGTCAAGCTAACATAAATCATTCATTTGGACTACAACTGCAACATTTTGAAAGGTTTGGTACCGTGAGTGGCACAAATAAAAAGTTAGGACAAAATCCTTTATTAAATGAAAGGTTTGGTACCGTTACTGCAATTATCCCCAATTTAATGGTTCCAACAAAAAGCGTCTCTTCTTATTTTTAATGAAAAAGAAAAGAGTAATGCTACTTGCAGTCGCTCACTGAAACAGTCGTTCTATGTGGCACACACATGACAAGTGTGTATTTTATGCATCAAATAACTACATGTCATGCGTGTGCCAATAAGAAGAGACGCTTTTTGTTGGAACCATTAAATTGGAGATAATTACAGTAACGAAAAGAGTAATGCTACTTACAGTCGCTCATTGCAGCAGTTGTCCTATGTGGCACACACATGACAAGTGTGTATTTGATGCATTAAATGTGGTCAAAAATTACCACATTAATGTATCAAATAACTACATACCATACGTGTGTCACATATGACGATTGCTGCAGTGAGCTACTGCAAGTAGCATTATTCAAAAGAAAATTCAAATTCGGACTTCGGCTAAAGTGCAGCACGTTTTTCTATTACATAATTATCATCTTGGTACATACGCATGGTATATTGTATCTATTGCACTTGACCAAGAAAACGTTCTTGAAAATCTTGATTCCCTCCATAGGTATATTGCGCCAGATTAGAATGCTCAAAGAATAGTCTATTTTGGTGTTCCAATCATCTCTACTCTTTTTTTAGACCCCTAATATCTTATTTAGTTTTGCTCTTTTTTAATTTTTGCGATGAATTGAATGAAGGCATGTGATAAACCTCGCATTCAAAAATATCAACCACTGATTCTTTACTTTTCGAGCCTAAAATTACCTCATTCCAAATTTCCATTCGTCTTGATCGATTGAAAATTTTAGTTAAAAGTTCACAAGATAATCTCTCATTAAAATCATGGGACGTAGAAAAATTGAAATACACGAAATCTATAACTGACGAATACACTAAGATAATGAACTGCATCACAATCACACTAGCTAAAATTCGTGATACAAAATAATTATAGTCGATAAGATTGATTTATCATTTTAGAATTACCATCCAACACTACATATATTTTTCAATGCGTAACTTCACGCACCAAAGGTAGCCCTTCTAATGTCCTCTCATCTGATTTCCTTTTGCTTTTTCGTGTTGACTCTACTCTTTTTTTGTAAGTCAATATTTCACTTTACTTCATTCTTCTTCTGTATCAACGTTAAAATATTATTGGCCTTTTCAAATATGAAATTGTCTCATTTCAATCGTCAACGTAGTCTTAAATTAATGCATGAGGGAAGTAGGGAATATGGTACTAAAATACTAATATCTATAACTGATCACTGCATTATGATTAGAAACACACTTCATGTACAGAAAGGAAAATCAACAGAAATGGCCAGAATACTCACACCATGTAGAGCCCGCGCATTTTTTATTTTTTTTAATACACAGTAGGGCCCACCCATTTGTGATTTTTTTTTTAATTTTTTCTGTGGCTTGATTTCTGTACAAATGGTTAAAACCTTATGATTATGAAGTATGAACCTTGACGTATGCGAACATGTGACATCGAGTCATCCACAACACGCGAACATATCCTTGTAGAAATCAAACTTTATCCAGTCCATTCTAAACCGTCCCAAAAACCCAACAGTATTTCAACTAATTTCTTCACTCGCTTCTAAAAATCTGTCAATGACAGAGCAATTTGAGCTTGACAACAAGAACTACAGCAATGGATCTTTTCCAAAACGCCAAGGCAGTGAGACTCAAAAGTGTCCACAACAAGTATTTAACGGCGGAAGAAGATGAAGAATCAGTGGCCCAACATCGGACTGGTTCATCAAAGAATGCAAAATGGACAGTAGAATTTGTCGAAAATTCCGACAACATAATCCGCCTCAAAAGCTGTTATAACAAGTACTTAACAGCATCAAACAAGCCATTTTTGCTGGGTATGACGGGGCGTAAGGTGCTGCAAACAATACCTGGGAGGCTCGATTCTTCGGTCGAATGGGAACCCATTCGAGAGGGCAGTTCTGTGAAGCTCAAGACGAGGTACTGTTAACCCGTCTGATCTATAAGTTCAAGTTGTTATATAGAGCTAGCTTATCCATTTAAATTTGACTTCAACAGGTATGGGCAGTTTTTGAGGGCCAATGGCGGGTTGCCGCCGTGGAGAAACTCAGTTACACATGATATTCCTCATCGGACTGCGACCAAAGATTGGGTTTTGTGGGATGTCCATGTGGTTGAAATCTTGGTTATGTCACCGACGCCGGTGGCGCCGCCAGTTTTGGCTGCTGACTCTGATTCGTTTGCTTCTGATACTAGTTCACCGTCTGCTCCTTCCTTAAATTCTGCAAGCTTTTCCAGACCAGAGGTACTTCTTTAATCTTGTTTTGAGTGTGTATTAATTTTTCTATTTCTTAATTTTAATCACGCATCTTTTGAATAAAAATTTAAAACTTTTCATTATTGTTCGACCACATACTCTTCCATCCATCATCATTTCAAAATCTATAACGACGACTTTCTCATCTTCAAATTGAGATCGAACAAAATTAATCTAAAATAGGTATATATTCAGAGCTTGGAAAAAGGATAAAAATAAATTTAAGCAATTGTCGAATTTCGAAACAGCTCCTAAGTTTCACATTGCTCTATAATTAAGCATATTGGGCGGTCTCCAATTACAAGTCGATGTTAAGGGCTTGCTTGAGTTTGTGTATTTTTTTTTTCCCCTGGTTTTGGGTGACACCATTTATGAGTGGTTGGAAAAATCGGTATTTGGTAGTTTTTTTTGTGTATCGATTTTGGATGGTTTAAAATTACGCAAAATTGGTGTGGTGTAATTTTGACCGGTTCTCAACTCAAGTTGGCAGGTTTGGACCGTTTCCCACATTCTTTTTCTAGTTTTACCCTCTATAAAATAATTATTTTCAACCAACATTTTCTTCAAAACTAATTTCTAAATAAAATTTATTTATAAGCAAAAAATTACATTATAATTAATTTTTTATGAATATTCGTTAATATTACTTATAAGTAAAAAAATCGCTTTTGTATAAAAAAAATTTGCTTATAGAATAAAAATAGTACTAATAAGATAAAAAGTTACTAATAAATAAAAATTCACTTAGAATTATTTAAAAGTATGAAATTAACTTATAATTGAAAAGTTTTCTTATAAGTAGAAAATATTAACTTATATGTAAAAAAAAAATTACTTATATGTAAAATATCGCTTATGAGAAAAACAATTTCATGTAAGAAACAATAAACTAAAAATTTTACCGAGGGACATAAATGTAATTTTATTTTTTAAAAAAAACTTTCAGAACCGATGAATAATAAACTCCCAAACATATGTTGGACAGTTTTAAAAACTGCTTCTAAACCATTTAAAAGCTATCTGCTCAAGATCTATATTTTAAAAAATGCTCATAATTGGTACCCCGAAACTCTCAAGTAAGCCCTAAGAGTTAGTTCTAGTCTGCATGTTTAATAAATTTTCAATCCAATGCTTTAATTATGTGCCGCCAAAGTTAGAATAAAAAAGTGAATAAAATTATGCTTTTAACTCCTCTGATTCAAGTTAGATATTTAGCTTCAGTTCTCTTAGCATAGTGCCGGATCCTGATTATATTTTGGGGGTTTCTTTTTTCAGTCTAATGATTCTTTGGTTAGTTCACCACCGAAGGGGAGCGATGGCAGATTGATTTATTTTCATATAGCCAATGAATATGGGGAAATTGACGAGGGATTTGAGGAGCTCTGTACTACATTTAAGGGAAATGGAGTTCGAGAATTGACGAAAAAGTTAGAGGAGGAATTGGGAGTTGATGATATTACTGTATGTACACGAAGTCCATTGAATGGAAAGCTTTATCCTCTTCGTTTACAGCTTCCTCCCAATAATGCAACTATGCACGTTGTTGTGATTCCGACCTCATCAAAAGGTAATCTTCTTCTCCGTAGTTGGTTGTGATGAATATTCGTGTCAATAAGGAAAATGAAAACTGTTTTAAGCTATTCCATTTTATGTTACATGGGGTTGATCTGTGTTCCCAGTTTAAGATTTAGCACTAATCTGTCATCCTGTTTATGGATTAAGCCTTCATACATAATTAGAATACAAGAGCGATAATAGACAATAAAATCAGATATATGAAAAGAAGAGTACAAGATGATCTCACTCTTCTCACCTTAAAAACACGAGTCTTCTAAGATCCTTATGTAGTAGGAATATTAGGTCTATCTGTGGTCGAGGGATAAATGTGCAGTATATATATCTTTATGTGTTCGTTTTAAATTTATTTTTCTGCTTTCTTTCCACTTCATTGCAGTAGTATTCCTAGTCTTGTTTGAGCAAAATGCGTCCTATATCTTTTCTGTGTTCCTTGATTTAGTTCTTAATCGAGATATGTCTTTCAGCGTGATTAGATTTTCTATCGTTTCTACTTTGTTGAATGCCATTATTACGGGTGGTTGCCCTGTATCTGTATGTATTATGTATCTTCATTAAATTTTTATCAATTTTTACGTATTCTTTCCTTCTTTTTTCGGCGAATCAGAATCAGGAGATTTGATAACATTAGGAATGCCATTGTAGAAGGAACTCAGAAACTCACAGCACGAGTGCAGCCTTCCCGGTGCTCGCTAGACCTCGACTTAGCTTCCGGTGCCTTTACACCTCAACGTGATGATAGTTGAACTCGTGAAGATTTTGTAAATACACTTTTCAGTTTTCTCTCGTTCTTTATTCTTCTTTTTGATATGTTTTGCTTTTCGATTTTTTTTGTCTGTCTCGGAAATAACTTTGCTGTAAAAATTGTGTACCCATTTTGGAATTGGGTTTTGAAGAGTTGAGAAGTATAAACGAGTTCTTGCACAGGATGTGAATGTACGTGTTAAACTTGGTGCTTAACATCTTAGGCCCAATGATGCAACCCATTTTTTAGATGGCCCTGTGATGAAACCCAAATTAATTTGTTTAGCCCATTTGATAGAGTGTAACCCGGCAGCCCACTTCCTTTTGTGTATTCTCGCCTTTTGTTGAAGTGCGACTTTAGTTATTATTTTAAATGGCTGTGATGATGCCATTTGGAGATGGTGCCACCATTGGATGCTTATGATTGTTTATATTATTGGCTTACTCTTCATTTGGGTAGAGGGTTCGAGATATTATCTAGGGTTTTCTCTCTTTTGCTCTCGGCGTGTTTTCTATTTGAAAACTCTTGGTTTTCGTCTGTAATCTTTTGATTCTAGATATTTTTGGTGAAATCTAGTGTTAATTGCTGTATAAGTTTTGGTGATTTTGTTCTTGGTTGAGCAGTAATCTTTGTTTACTTGGTGTAATCGGATTGAGTGTACTTGAGAGAAGAAATTGGGCCTAAGGGCTAAATCCGTTTGGATTTCTGTACTGTGAAACTTGTATTGATATTTTTGTTGGTTTTTAGTGGATTAGAGCGATAACCATTTTGGTGGAAGCTCAACGTGGTGATTAGCCCCTTCGAGGGTGAACATCCGGGCCTAAGGGCGAAAATCTCTGGTATTCTCTTTATTTCTGCTATGTGCTTAGTATTTTTGGGACTATTTGTTACAATACTGGTATCAGAGCTCTGCGATCTGCACATAAATCCTTTGATCTGAGTTTTTCTGGTGTTCTTGATAAACAAAATCCTAGATCTTTATAGATCTATACTGTAAAGGGTTACATCTTCAACTTTGCGGAGAATCTAAAATAGTACTGGTATTCACTATTTTACACTGTCGATTTGAGACTTTTGGTAACGAGTTTCTAACATTATCTCTCTTATCATCGTTCGATATGAAGATATTCTTGGATCTCTTGGTTGAAACCCTCTTGGACCTTCCTTTGTCTAGGTTTTCTCATGTGAAGACCCTATAATCTGAGGGACTAAGATTAACGTGTTGACCTATGGTTGATTTCATTCTTAATGTTTTGATTATAACAAACGAGATTAATATTATTTCTAACAATTGATTTTGAGTTATGATAGTTCAATGTTAAAATCGATCAAGTATTGCCAAAATCAACACATCATAAATCGGACTCGAAATGAAGATCAAAGTGAAAGTCAAGCATTCAAGTTAAATCATTCGAAACGACAGCTTAAAAGATCAAAATCAAGATTATCAAGTCGGGCTCATGAAGAAGAACACGATCAAGAGTTTAAGAGCCAAACATGAAAGAAACTTCGAAGCAATATCAAAGACTAGGCTTTCGAGATCATATGTAAATATATAACACTTTGATATTTAGTAATGGGTAATTGGCGCAAAACGTCCGTACCTTTGAAGGTTTTTGTGGAAAACGTTCTTACCTTTTGTTTTTTTGGGGCAGAACGTCCTTACCTTTCACATCCTTTGCGCTGAACGTCATTTTCACCAATTTTTAACATAAAACGACCAATATACCCTCCTATATAAATAAAACAAAAAAGAAAAGAAAAATAAAGAATAAATTCCAATATGCTCCTAAACTTTTTAAAAATGTAAATTAGTCCAAAATTTATGAAAATATTAAAAATAATAAAAACACACTCTCTTCTCCTCCACCTCCCTCCACCGCCTCCACCGTCTGATGACTACATCTACTATTTTCCACCGTCACAACCTCCGGACATTGGTACCAACACAATCTCCTCAACACCCTATACAATTCCATCCCAAGAATTCCCCATATCATCTAATAGTCTGGCAGAAACCAGCAAGCAAAATCAGCTACTCGAAAAATGGACAAATTGCTGGAAGTCACACCTCCGGCTAGCAACAGGATCGTGGACCACCACCATCCGGTTGCCCACACCTAGACGACCTCGGCCATGTGGGCAATTCATCCAAAACACTTATCCAATAGGTTTAATTTGAAACTAAATATAACGCAATCGCGACTATCGCGCCGCGTACTGAACTTGGCTAATTCTGGCATCGTCCCTTAGACCCATGGTTGCAGACCACTCCATTCAACACCCTCTCATCATGGCAAAGCTATTCCACCCATGAGTCTTCCACAATTTTGCTTGGATTCGTTAGAACTTCAGGTTGAAATCCAATTGCAATTTTTGGAACATAGTATTTCTCTCACGAAATTGACCTAGACCCATGGTTAGGCTAGGTGCTCCTGGTGAAGAGGGACCTAGCCTAGGTGGTCCGCGACCATGAGTGTTTCGGACGGCGCCAAAATTTGAGAAGTTCGTAGGCTGTGTCGCGACTGGCAAAGAATCTGGCATGAAATTAATTTTTTTGTTGATGTTTGTTGTAAATTGTTGGCATGGGTGTGGTCGTTTGGTGATAGGCAATTGATAGGAGGTGAGTTCCGATCATGGGGGTGGACAGAATGTAATTTTCGACGATTTTTAGATTTGAGGACAGTGAACTTTCAGCATTAATTTCGACCACTACAATTGATGAAATTAGGAGTGGTTGGTGGTAATTGAAGGGGGAATTGGAGGGCTGTTGACCGGTGTCAACGTCCGGTGGTTTGGGTTGTCGGAGGCTACCGAAATTTGGATGCATTTTGGCTGAAAAAAGCCAAAAGCGCCACTTTTTTGGACTGATTTGTATTTTTTAAAAAGTTTAGGAGCATATTGCAATTTATTCTTTATTTTTATTTTATTTTATTTTTTTGATTTATTTATATAGGAGGGTACAATGGTCATTTTATGTTAAAAATTGGTAAAAAGGACGTTCAGCGCAAAGAATGTGAAAGGTATTGACGTTTTGCACCAAAAAACTACAGGTATAGACGTTTTTCACAAAAAACGAAAGGTAGGGATGTTTTGCGCCAATTACCCTTTAGTAATGAATGACAATAGCCAGGGATGGCAACTGAGCCGAGTGGCTCGTCGGCTTGTAAAAAATGAGCCACGAGCTGCTTGGACCTGTCAAAAAGACAAGCCCGAGCACGAACCGAGCTGCTCGCCGAGTTGTTCACCTACGAGCCCACGAGCAGGGCTTGTGGGCTCGTGTAATACGCGAGCCACGAGCCGGCTCAGCCGTGGCTCGCCAAAAAAAAAAAAATTTAAAAACTGATTAAGAGCGGTCACCGAATTAGTTGTAACGCCCCAAATTCTAGGAACTCGAAGAGTTAAAAGTCTTCTTAATTTGAGCTCTTTAATATCAACCAAAATAAATTTCAAATAAGGAAAATTTGAAATATATTATAAAAATATGATGGGAAATAATTGTCTATATAGACTTAGACAATTACAGTAAAATTTGATTTTGGAAAACATTCGGAAGAAAATCAGCAATACCAATAGCGCATCAGCGAAAAGATAAAAATTGTTTGACCTAGGAAACGTCGACTAAAAATCACGAAATTTTAACAGAGACTATGACACTCATATAGTACATCATATAAACAATTGAGCTTGCTTCGATAACGTTTGAAGCACAAAATCATTTTTCAACTATGCTGGACATAAATTTTCGAACTGACTCATAGCAGTCTACTAAAACGGACATAACTCCTTCTCTAAATAATATTTTAAGGTAATTCCAAAGGACAATGTTATAAGACTCGTAGATCTTTTGAACTCAACTGATTTCACTCAACAATATGCACCGTAGCCCAAGTTATACCATCTTTAAATAGGTAGATAGAATCTGCGATTCAATACAGTAATAAATAAACTTCCTATGTAGTCATTCAGCCGTTTCTAAATTATAGTAGACATGAAATGAAAATAATCTAAGCAAAATAGAAAGTTAAACATATTAAAAGTGTCGTCTAAGTGTTTATAAGAGATATAAACAAATGAAAATTTTACTAGAAAGTTAAATGCATTCTAAGTCACCGAGCACTTGCCACCACTCCATGCCACTGCCATGCCTACAATTAACCTGTAAATTTTGTAGGGATGAGTATCACGAGTAATACTCAGTAGGAAAACACTTAAGTAAATGATAACAATATATATTTCATAAATGCGACTTTGGTTATTTGTGTCACCGTCAACTCTGCAAAGCGAACTGGTGATCAGTCAGTTCGCTTTTTCTTCGGGTTTTGATAACCCCATTCAAGTGTCATACATAATCTCTTTATCTCTTGTTTGAACCACCAAATGATGCTTCCATCATAAGTAACACAATAACACTTTTAGGCCCTGTTTGAGCCAAATTATTTTAGAATGAGAATGAAAAATATAGCCGTTATTGGGACCCACATAATAGATAGAAAATTTGAATTTAAATGTTGATGTGAATGGTCATATTTTTCATTTTAATGAGATAATAGTGTAGATCAAATGGGGGCTTAATTCAAATCGAAAACAAGTAAATTTTTACTTCACTTACACCCATACCTTGAATGATTAGAGTTTGATTATCATTTTTTGTTGAATTTGTAACAAAGTACAACATAAAATGGATCCGGCAGTAACCAAAAATGGAAGTCAAAAGTGGAAGTGGGATAAGAAATCTTAAGTGGAGGTAATGTTTTCAATTAATAACAAATGGGGAACGTGATGACAGTAACCGAAATGGTAGTCGAAGGGTTTTGTTTTCAAAAGAAATTAATAGCCATGATTTTAACAGTTCATAGAAATGGAAAGTTACAATTTGTAAATTGGAGAGTGGGGGAGT